TGAGACAAGAAATATGATGCTGACAGACTACCTTGTACGCGTACTTGCGGTGAAGCTTTCCCTGCTCCTTGTATGTCTTCATGAGGTGCTGCATGAATGCAAATGTCACCTTCCCATCTTCCAACATGGGACCACTGTACTCATCCTCAATTACTGAAAGAAGCACAAATATTAATAATGGAAATGTGCGTGCGCACACATGCCAACATCTTTTTGTGTCTACCTATCTCACAGCAGTTACCCATGTTCTCCAAGTTGATGGAGTCTGCTACACTCCTTTTTGTGTCATCTACCCGTATCGCTCTCTCAAATGCCACCTGCTTCACGATCTTGCTGCATTCCGTATATTTAATTTTGGCATCTGCATCATTTGGTTTTGCTTTGGTCACCTGCAACAAACATGCACAGCTGATACAAAAAGTGTGTTTCAATGCACAGCAATGGTGTCCACTTCAATATACTATTCAATCATTGCTCTAGAGGGAGGGAGAAAACTCAGATTCGGTCACGTCAGTTGGTCTCCTGACTGAGATCTTAACTGGGTACCTGCAGAATAGGAAGCACAGTATTAACAATAACATAGCAAAATCTAATTAGGCCAAATGGCCATGGAGTTTAATCCTCATCTTACCACTCCATGACTAAAATAAACAGCAATACATACGGCCTCATAGTCCCGAAGCGCAAGCTTGAATTTTCCCAAAGACATGTGGGCACCAGCTCTCCGATAATATCCCTTCACGTATGTTTTATCTAGTTCGATGGCTTTTGACGCATCATTCAGGGCATACCCAAAACATTCAGTTTTCAGGTATGCAATGCTCCTATTACCATAGTAAACAGCAACAGATGGGTTCAGCTCAATTGCCTTTGAGTATAGATCAATGGCCTTGTTGTAATCTTGTTCTGCAACACACAGATGGAGGGTACAGCATGGCCAGTATCAACCAGAGTTTCTCTGCCTTTAAATTATACTAAAAATATTCAGTATGATACAACAGTATAAGCATATGCAGGGTGAGGTAGCGTTCATTCGTAAATTTAAGGATACACCAGTCAACCACAATTTATGAAAATTTAATTTAAGTAAAATGAATTGAAAGACAAGTGTTTGCCATTAATGAGGGACATCATAACAAAGTTGCTACTTAAAGATAGCACCTGTCAGATGTCATCCATCATGATTGATGCAATCAATTCATAACACTTTCCAATACACACAGTCACATGGTCAGTGGTATGGCATTAATTTATTCAGATATTTACTGGTCAGCAGTCAATCAACAATTTAAGGACTGTGTTTGAAGAATGAATAATTTCCCACTATGGTGACATTTCTTGGCCAGCCCAATTGCCCAATGTGTCAGCTTCCGATTTCTTTTATGGGAATCCTTAAAGAGCAAAGTGTTTCAAATACATCCGGCACACTGCAATATCTCAAACACAGAATCTGTAAGGAAAAAAATGCTATATCACTAGCCACGTTATAGCACATAATGGAAAGTGTTATGAATCGAGAGCATCAGTGTATCAATCTTGACGGACGACATCTGACACGTATTATTTTTAATAAGGAACTTGGTTATAACGTTCCTCAATAATGGCAAACACTTGCCTTGTAATCCACATTACGCTGAATAAATTTGAATAAACTGTCGTCAACTAATGCAGTGGTTCCCAATTATTTTTCTAATTCCTATAATTAAATACAAAAGATATTTCATGCAATACACACTGTTTTACACTAATCATTATAGGCGCGGATACAGGGAGCATTTTTGGTATTTAATAAGTAAAAATGTACATATATTGTATTTATTTCCCATTACATCTGACCACTGATTTTCCCCATGGCCTCCCAAGGAAATCATGCTATCTTTGCGCACGCTAACCACAGAAACTGATGAAGTGTAAAAATGACAGTACTCACTCAGTACAATGGGAGGGCCTGCATATTTGAAACTAGGTGACTCATTCTCACTTGAATCGTAACAGTAACTTTCAAGTTTAGGGCAGTTATGGTACTTCAATTTAAATGCTGCCATTGCTGAAAATGCTTTTTTTTTACACAGATTTGTAGTTCCAAAAAGTATTAAGACGTCAACAACTAGTTCAAGAGTTCTAAGCATTATTTTTTATGTAAATCCAAAATTCAGGAACATACAAAGCTTCAAACTCGATCTTGAAAGACGAATTACAGCTAAGTTCCATCAGAGATTCCCAGACATTTATGGAAAGGTCATTTATTCTTTCACCAATCATGACTGCAAATGCATTTCAGATACATTCATGTTGCTAAAGGGTTAGTTCTGGAAAGCAATTGTTAACACAACTCTCAAGATTAGTGAGAAGAGTCAGAACATGAGGTTTCATCTTTTCAAATGCTTCATCACTTTTTTTCCTATGAATTCACTCGCGCTCACAAACCTTTCTAGGGTGTCACGTTCCCAAAAGCTTTTCCATAGTACTGTCACTTTCATAAATGCTGACATTTTGTAAAAAAGATGAAAAGCAGTTGCACGTTTGGACCATGAAGAGATGTGTTTGGTCTGTTGAGCACATCAAATGTATGAGACATAAGAACAAGCCAGTGCTTAACCAAAAAGTGTTAATACAGTGGAGAACCAGAGTCCTACAAAAATCTGCATACTTCTTTCAGTTCAACTAATCATTTATGAACTTACCCCTTGATAACCACCAAACCTACAAATGCAAGAGAAGAGACTTGTGGTCTGCGTGAATTTCTTAACACAAAACTGCAAATAAGCGAGAGTTCAATGGGCGAGTTTTCACAAAGTTCACTACTTTGACTACCTGACTGTAGTGCAGAATGCAACTTTAGTTGAAGGTCACAATGTTTATAGTTCATGTGGGTAGCAATTTTCTGTACTTAACGTGAACTCTTCCTGGATGTTTTCTCTGAAACAGTATCTGACAAACATCTGTAGCTTATATAATCCTGCAACATCTATTGACTCATCAATTTGAAGACCAAATTTTGGACTGCATTTAATCCCAGTCAGCAGGTGTTCCTTGATGTCTTCTGACACTGATTCAATGCGTAGCATCACTGTATTATTAGACAAGAGAGCTTTACCATGCACAGTTTTTCACATTTTCAGAAACTGAAACCATTTTCGGCACTTTTAAATTGCTTTATAAGCCACAAATCCATTTTTACACAAGTTGTCAGTAAAATCTTGCTATGTTAAGCGTTACTAACGAACCACAGAAGTTTGTAATAATAACAGCTTTAACACATGCATTTTGTATTTGTTTGTTCCTGTTTAATTTACGCTGCCAACAGTGTGAAGGGGTCAATTTCTTGAAAAATAACATGCATTCTAAGACTGCCTAATCTTAAGATATCTGAACTGTTTAATTACTGCTCACTGACGTACTTTTTATGGATTTTGTAAGGTAAGTAAGTCTACAGATATCATCAGGCATGTGTCACCTAGTTTGCGAACCACTGGACTAGTGTATCTTTAAAAATGATGAATCCTGCCCCTCCAAGTAGATACATCCATACATACACACACCTATATATACCAATTGCACATTATACATCATGATGGTGGAGGCAGCAAGGACCTCTGAAACATCAGAAAACTTCTACCAGGCTACACAGCACAACTCAGAAGACAGCCATCTTCAGACGCACTGCTGTGAAAACCCCAAATCCTACTAGTTACAAAATATTTTTGCTTTATTAAAACACTCACATGCAACATTAGGAAAGTAATGTATTTTAATTGAATAATCTAATTAAATTCTTAAGAAAACTGTTCTGTTTTCCTGTGTTATTTGTAGAAATTCCTTTACTAATCTGTGTTATACACTAATATACAATCGAATATTATTAACACTCAGTCTAAACCCATACTTTTTGCAGATGACACTAATATTACTATTTCAAATCCAGAAATTAACCGTTCCCAAATCTTCATAAATGATGTATTTGCTAGCTTGAACAAGTGGCTTAAGGCCAATAAACTCACATCAAATTTGGACAAAACAAACTTCATGAAATTTTGTATTAACAACAAAATTTGTGTTAATCTGAACATGGTATAACAATAGAACAATCGAACATCTAAATTTCTTGGCATACAAACAATAGCATACATAACACATACTGAATAAACTATCCCTAAACTAAGTTCAGGATGTTTTACTGAGGACATCAGCGCTAATCATGGAAATAGAAACTTTAAAATTAGTCTACTTTGCTTACTTCCATTCCATTATGTCATGGTATAATATTCTGGGAAAATTCAACAGATGGAAAAAAGTATTTTACATTCAAAAGAGGATAAATAGAATAATGGCAGGCACCGAAACAAGAGGCTCTTGTAGGGAATTATTTAAGAAATTTAATATTCTCCCGCTAGCCAGCGAATTCTTATTTTCATTATCATCATTTGTTGTAGACAACATGGAAAAATTTCAAACAAATTCAGATGTACACAATATAAATACAAGATGCAGACATAACCATCATGTGTCAAATACTGACTTCAGCAAATATCAAAAATGAGTTTACTACAATGGAATTAAATTATTCAAAAATCTTCTTCCTACCATAAAAATGTTAAATCATATCATAAAACTATTTAAGCCAGCACTAAAAGATTATCTCTCATCTCACGCCTTCTACAGAGTAGAATAATTTACTTTGAACAATATACATATTTCCGGTTTAACAATGTCTGTACATTTTTCCAGTACCTAAGGTTGTTACATTTTATATTTCACATTTTATGTTCTAATTTTTCTTCTTCATTCTTGTCTGTCTGCCCACAAATCCTCTTCGATGTTTCTCTCCCTCATTAATGATTGAATTCCCTGTATCCAGGTATTTGGAGGACGTCCTCTTTTCTTTCTTCCAGGCGATACCCATTCCATGACCTTCTTCACTAATCTCTCTTCTGTCATCCTTTTTGTATGTCCATACCATTCCAATTGCTTTTGTTGGATAAAATCAAGAATTGAATTTTGAACATTCATTCTATCTCTAGTTTCATTCCTTATTTTTTCCCGTCTCGACATCCTTGCAGAACATCTCCAAAAGTCCATCTCAGTACTATGATATTTTATTATTATTGATACATATGATAATGGTGATGATTCCTTGATGTAATTACATTACTGTAATACTGCATTATATCAGATATGTATGTAAATAGCTGTTAAAACTTTGTATTTGTATTATGATACATTCTACATCCTTGGCTTAGGCTTATGAAGGGTCTCACTCACTCACTCACTCTATGGTACAGAATATTCTTTGAAAGGTCGAGCTATCAAATAATCCTGTCCCCACTAAAAAGGCCAAATCACAATGTAAAAAATTTTAGCCAGCACAAAAAAGGACCTCCTATCTCACTCTTACTCCATAGAATAGTTTACCTCAATCAAAAATTCTCAGCTATTATAAACACATGTAAGCAATTGTGGGAATGCTTGCATGTGAAATTATTTTTGCAGCAATACTGTAGTTGATTGTAAATTAGAGTCACAACTATGGAATTTATATATGTAGAAGAAACAAGTATTGTATTTGCAATATGATATGTTCTACATCCTTAGCTTGGGCCTATGAAATGTACATAAAATCAATTCTGTTCTATTGCTTTAGTAATCTGTAAACATTAGATCATAACCTAACTTGACTAAACTACTATAAATCAACTGCTTATGATCTACGTCTGCGTTTGGATGATCTAAACATCACTGGCCGGACTTACAGGAAAGTTTTTTTTTAAACAGGGACAATCAAAAACCTACAACTCAACAGCATTACCTATCTCATGAGCATAATAATTCATAGCCAAATTACTTAAAAATATATGGATTAGCATACTTCTAAAACAGTTATTAGCTTCTTCTTTCATTTTCTCTGCCTCTTCGACATTTTCCGGCGAAACTGAAGGCGTAATTTCTGCGCTTACACTCATTTTTACCTTCGTTTCTTACCAACAACACTCCTCAAAACCTCGCAGCTCGCAGTACGTGAGCCTTTTGTTCAACATTACATCCACAGTTAACACCACCATACCACTGGTCGTCATTGATTGTGCTTTATCTTTTAGGTTACAATCACAGACCAACTCACTACAAGTGCTGAATGAAACTGATAGATGTTTTGCAGTTGTCTAAAATCGAGATTCTCAGTACTATGATATTTTATTATTATTGATACATATGATAATGGTGATGATTCCTTGATGTAATTACATTACTGTAATACTGCATTATATCAGATATGTATGTAAATAGCTGTTAAAACTTTGTATTTGTATTATGATACATTCTACATCCTTGGCTTAGGCTTATGAAGGGTCTCACTCACTCACTCACTCTATGGTACAGAATATTCTTTGAAAGGTCGAGCTATCAAATAATCCTGTCCCCACTAAAAAGGCCAAATCACAATGTAAAAAATTTTAGCCAGCACAAAAAAGGACCTCCTATCTCACTCTTACTCCATAGAATAGTTTACCTCAATCAAAAATTCTCAGCTATTATAAACACATGTAAGCAATTGTGGGAATGCTTGCATGTGAAATTATTTTTGCAGCAATACTGTAGTTGATTGTAAATTAGAGTCACAACTATGGAATTTATATATGTAGAAGAAACAAGTATTGTATTTGCAATATGATATGTTCTACATCCTTAGCTTGGGCCTATGAAATGTACATAAAATCAATTCTGTTCTATTGCTTTAGTAATCTGTAAACATTAGATCATAACCTAACTTGACTAAACTACTATAAATCAACTGCTTATGATCTACGTCTGCGTTTGGATGATCTAAACATCACTGGCCGGACTTACAGGAAAGTTTTTTTTTAAACAGGGACAATCAAAAACCTACAACTCAACAGCATTACCTATCTCATGAGCATAATAATTCATAGCCAAATTACTTAAAAATATATGGATTAGCATACTTCTAAAACAGTTATTAGCTTCTTCTTTCATTTTCTCTGCCTCTTCGACATTTTCCGGCGAAACTGAAGGCGTAATTTCTGCGCTTACACTCATTTTTACCTTCGTTTCTTACCAACAACACTCCTCAAAACCTCGCAGCTCGCAGTACGTGAGCCTTTTGTTCAACATTACATCCACAGTTAACACCACCATACCACTGGTCGTCATTGATTGTGCTTTATCTTTTAGGTTACAATCACAGACCAACTCACTACAAGTGCTGAATGAAACTGATAGATGTTTTGCAGTTGTCTAAAATCGAGATTACTGCCTAAAGAACTTATATATATATACACACACACACCGTGTGCTGTGTGGACGAAACATTTGTAAGTGTTACAATTCGTTCCTTGATATATTCCATGACTTATCCATTTTCTGTGTGAATTCATAGTCGACTACATACCAGAAATTGTTTCATGTTACATTACAAGGTATTCATGTTTAATTACCCCTGGTAACAGAATTAACGATTGCAGCATATTTCGTATTTTTACTCTGTTTCAGTTCAAAATCAAATGAATACAACAGTATGCAAACTGCCAGAATATGTGGGAGGTGGATATTTCAGGTTAAGGGTTGAGTGGAAGCCTGATAACTTTAAAGTTGTGTTGCTGCAAAATGCATCTGCATGGAGTGGACATGTAAGGCTATTTACTGTTTCTTTCATTTCATTCTGAAATCTTATATTGAGGCAGCACTACTGATTAATATCAATATAATCAACCCCAATAAACAATAAAATATAGCTGTACATTATAGGCATCACATGATCACACTGAGCAGATGAGTCAACTCCTGCAACTGTCTGTTAAAGATTACATTACTGAAACCAAAGTCGCTCTGTCCACACAAGGAGGGGCAAGTCACTTCACATACGTGGTTGAAGACGGCCAGTTCATGTGGAAGAAACTGGACCAGCTCTCCAACATCAAGATAAAATATGGATGCATACAATTGGCAGAGGTAAAGCCTGATATGTGTATTGCAGCCACAGAAAGAGGTACCAACCAGGTACCCCTCTAGCCATCTGTTCAGTGGGTTGTTGGTAATGATAACCATCACCAATAGCAAATGCTTTGGTTTGAATAGACCTTGAGGGAATATAACAGTAGGCACTGTGGAGAAAGCCTTGAGCTCCATCCATCCAATTTCTTGCTAGATTGTGACATTATTTTGGAACAAATAAGGGAGCATTTGACTTGGAACAGCAATGGCTTAAATGTGAACAGGTAATTCCTACTGAGCCATACAAAACAGATGTATAATATATGATCTGTGACCTCTTCATGTGGTTATAGTGTTCTGCGTAACACTACTTGGATCATAAGGGATCACCACTGTCAATCTATAACGTACACTACCAATATCAAATTTCATCAAAATCCATTAAGTGGCCTGTGATATGGGTGGATAAACACAGTTTTCTCCACTCGTCTACTGATGTTACAGACTCCATATCATGAAGCAGCAGAACAGATGTTGGATTCATTGTTGGAGCAATGTTGCAGTGTCAAGACAGAAGTTACCAGCCTGCAGGAGACTAACATAATAGCAACACAGGGTTGGTTCTCAGTTATACATAATAATTTCCAGGTAATAAAACATATTCTGGGTCTGAGATGTGCAGAGAATTTACGACTGAAATGCCTGCTGTATCAAAGCAATATAAATACTGAATCAGTAATGGGACTATGTTTTGTTTTAATTCAGAAGTACTTTGTGAACACTGCACACTGTTATTGATTACATTACATCAGAAAAGTTTTTAATTTAGGTTGTACATAAATACTCTTACAGTTCTTAATCTGCTGCAGTTAGACTGTGCATCAGCACAAGAGCGAAACTGGGGAGGAATGGCCTTTAGTAAGTAATTTCGTGTAGCAGTCCTTTTTGAAGACACGACAGCCTTTTGTGTAACCTCAAAGTTCTTTACCGTGTTCAAAAGACCCACCATGGGTCACTATCCTTGACAACATGACTACAGTCCACATCCATCCACCGAGTTTCCTCAAGATCCATTTTAATATTATCCTGACATATATGCTTAGTTCCTCTGAGTGGTTTTTACCCTTCATGCATTCAAACCAAAATTTGATATGCATTTCTCATTACCCATGCAAAGTAATTTAAATTTGAGGACATGATTCTAGTGGAATGTCATTGCTGTTTAGGTCCGTCAGTCTGATCCCTCCCCCCTCCTTTACCATTTAAATGACCAAAAAGAATCTGCCTTTAAAATGAACAACAGGTCTCTCTCTTCTTTGGTTAATTACGGATGAATGCATACAAGGAATTTGACTTCTATATGGTCATTAAGCAATGCAGTGCATTTAATAAGCAGCTGAAGAGCCGAGGGGCGGAATTAAATGGCATCTCTGGTCTTGTGCAGAGAGGACTGTCTTGATGAAGAAACTGGTGGAGTACAAGAAGCAGAAGCTGGAGATGGAAATGCGTCTGTTCGGCCAGTTTCTGGGAGTACTCAATAGCAAGAAGGAGTACATTCAGCAGTTGGAAAACGGGCTTCCTGGTACGATCACTCTTCGTCCACTTTTATTACTTTTGAAATTGGTTTGCTTGTTTTCTACCATCATGAACTCTAAATAAAAGTTGCAGTTACTGTGGTTAGTTGGAGTTTAAAATT